TTAATAATTAAGGAAGAGCATTTGTCTATTTTTTAGGGGTTCTGAAGCGCTTAGTAGTTCAGGGCTTATCAACCCTGAGGCGGTTTGTCCTGTTCAGGGCTTAAGTGTAAACGTTACACACAGCCAGGGCAAGCCTAGTTGGTTGGCGGTGACTTCGCCGGAGTTTGAGGAGAATCTACTTGTCAAAAAAATGGTCGCAGAAATGGATCGCAGCAGCCCAGCGGTTCTTTACCTTTGGCTTCAACTCCCATCGCAACCATGCGAGCACGGAAGACGGCGCCTTCTTACATGGAACCGTTGCCGCAGTGCCGGACCCCTTGTTTCACAAAACGAGTCTGGCCGGTGGCCTTGGGATCCTTTCCTGGAACTTAACTTCAGGGTTTAGGGTTTAGGGTTTAGGGTTTAGGGTTTAGGAAGAGGGTCTGCTTTTGAGCTCGTGCTCGTTACGGCCGCCCAGCCGGCAATTGATGTCAGACAGCAATGCGTTGCTCTTTCCAGAATGCGGAACCTTTTAGGAATCTCAGGGGTGCCAGGAGGTGTCCCTCTGGCGCGGTCAGGGTCGATCTGCATTTTCGTTAAGCCCACGCCTCAACAATCAGAGACTAGGTTCTACAACAGCAACTCGGTCAACACTTTCGTTCAAAACTTTCGTTAAAAAAGCCCAAACCCTACATAATTTCGATAAAGCCTTCAACCCTATAGTCTCCTCAAAACCAAGTTCCAAACCCTCTACCCTCAACTCCAACTCTGCCCCCGGCCCCCAAACTTGCTGAAACCGCCCAGAATAGGAACATAATGATCATGATAAGACTGATAAGAATATTAACGATAAACCCCAAAACCCGCGCCCCAAAACCCAAGCCCAGGACCCTAAACAGAACCCATAACCATGAAATCCCAACTAAAACCCCAACCCCGCTGACCCCAAACCCTAAACCCCAAACCTCAATTCAACCCAAACCCTGAACCCCCAACCCCAAAACCCCAAAACCCCAAACCCAAACCCCAAAACCCCAAAGCTCTAAACCCAAGCCCCAAACCCTAAATCCCAACCACCCAAAGCCCTAAACCCCAAACCCAAAACCCAACCGTAAACCCTAAACCCCAAGACCCCTAGCCCTAAACCCTAAACCCCCAATCCCCAAGCCCCCTAACCCTAAACCCCAGAAACCCCCCAAACCCCAAGCCCCCAAACCCTGAACCTTAAGACCCCTAGCCCTAAACCCTAAACCCGAAGCCCCCCAAAACCCTAAACCCCAAACCCAAAGCCCTAAACCCCAAACCCCAAACCCTAAACCCTAAACCCTAAACCCAATCCCTAAACCCCAAACCCTAAACCCTAAACCCTAAACCCCAAACCCTAAACCCTAAACCCTAAACCCTAAACCTTAAACCCTAAACCCTAAACCCTAAACCCTAAACCCTAAACCCTAAACCCTAAACCCTCGAAGGTCGGCTGCGACGGGCGCCGCTTGGCCCTGGCGCTGCGGGGGCAAGTCGGCCGCTACGGCCGCAAGGCGCAGGAGGCTCCGGTCGTTTCTTTTTGTTGGGGTTTAGGGTTCAGGGTTTAGGGTTTAGGGTTTAGGGTTTAGGGCTTAGGGTTTAGGGTTTAGGGTTTAGGGTTTAGATTGTTTTCTTTTTCTGTTCGGGGGTTTTTGGAGTGGCTTAGGGTTGTGAGTTTGGGGTTGAGGGTAAGGGGTTGAGTGTTTAGGATTTGTGGTTCAGGGCTAGAGGTTGAGGGTTAGGGGTTAGGGTTCTGGAGTTTAGGGTTTGTGTTCTTGGTTTCTGGGTTTTGGGTTTGGAGTTATAGGATGTAGGGTTTAAAGTTTAAAGTTTGGTGGGGATGCTTATCGGGTTAGTGCTTCGGGTTTAGGTTTTAGGGTTTGCCAATGCTCGCCGCGCCTCACCACACATGACGGACATGTGTTGTGACCCACCCACCACCCACGCACGCGCGCACCCGCATCTCAGCCTTGGCGGGTTATGGAAAAAGTAAGGAACACTTGTCACCAACTCTTGTATGTTGTGCAAGCCCAAGTTTTAGTTGTTGAGCCCTATCTTTGAGGGACCTCCTGTTTTTCAGGTCTAAAGTTGGCCTGCGGCTTGTTTGTGGCAGAGCTACCTTTTTCTCAATTCGCCCCGCGAAGTGGCAGCGGATGTAGTTCTGTTCGCATCAAGCGCTACGCCCTAAACCCTCAGCCTTTAACATTTTTCGTGCTGCGTATGGACTTCCTTGGAACTGGGACGCTTGAACCCTAAACACTACAAACCCAAAACCCTGAACCTTATAAACCCGAAACCCTAAACCCTAAACCCCAAACCCTAAACCCTAAACCCTACAAGCCCTGCGCCTCGCAAGGCTGCCAGCTCCTCCCACGTCCGGGCCGCGGAGGCATTCCGGCAGGCCGGTTTCAAGGCTGGGCTTGGGGTTTAGGGTTTAGGGTTTAGGGTTTAGGGTTTAGGGTTTAGGGTTTAGGGTTTAGGGTTTAGGGCTTGGGTCTTAGGGTTTGGGGTTTAGAGCTTAATGCTTGGGGGGTAGGGCTTGGGGTTTAGGGTTTAGGGCTTGGGGTTTGGGGTTTGGGGTTTAGGGTTTGGGGTTTAGGGTTTGGGGTTTAGGGTTTAGGGTTTGGGGTTTAGGGCTTAGCTCAACCAGAGAGGATCTCCTGTGCAAAGCGTCCCCTTTCTCAAACACAGCTTCGGGCCCTGGGCTTTCGGTTCCCAGACCCCAAGCCCTAAACCCTAAACCCTAAACCCTAAACCCTAAACCCGAAACCCTAAACCCTAAACCCTAAACCCAAAACCCTAAACCCTAAACCCCAAACCCCAAACCCTGAACCCTAAACCCTAAACCCCAAGCCCTACCCCCCAAGCACTAAGCTCTAAACCCCAAACCCTAAGACCCAAGCCCTAAACCCTAAACCCTAAACCCTAAACCCTAAACCCTAAACCCTAAACCCTAAACCCTAAACCCTAAACCCTAAACCCTAAACCCTAAACCCGTGCGCAGGTTGACATCTTCCTCTCTACGCGCCCTGGCGCCTCGATGAGCTTCCTCCGCAGCGCCTCGTCGGAGGGTTTGGGGGGTAGGGTTTAGGGTTTAGGGTTTAGGGTTTAGGGTTTAGGGTTTAGGGTTTAGGGTTTAGGGTTTAGGGTTTAGGGTATAGGGTTTAGGGTATTTAGGGTTTAGGGTTTAGGGTTCCCTAGGGTTTAGGGTTTAGGGTTTAGGGTTTAAGGTTCGGGTTTAGGGTTTGAGGGTTTTAGGCTTTAGGGTTTGAGGGTTTTGGGGTCCGAGCGTTTTAGGGTTTGGGGTTTGACAGTTTGAGGTTTCAGGATTGAGGGTTTGAGGGTGTAGAGTTTCAGTTTGATGGTGTGTGGGTTCTAGAGTTTCAGGGTTTAGGTTTTCAGGTTTTTGGTTAGAGCCCGTGCAAACTTTCATGAGCTCCTAAACCGAAGGACCCCAAGCACCCTAAATCCTAAGTTCTAAATCCTAAACATGAAGCCCTAAACCTTAAACCCTAAACCCAAACTCTAAACCATAGTTAACAGGGGCTGAGGTGGCTTTTGGGTCAGTTTGGCCGGCGGGCTGCAAGGGGACCCAGCGTTTAGGGTTTAAGATGTAGGGTTTAGGGTTTAGGGTTCAATATTTAGGGTTTAGGGTTTAGGGGCTTGAGTACACCCTGAAGCCCCAAAATCTTAGACCCACACCATCCAACACCTCCAAGAACCTTAGGCTCAAGCCCTCAACCAGGGGTCCCCCTTACATACCGAAACTCCCCCAGGCCCCAAACCCCAAACCCTAAACCCTAAACCCCAAACCCTAAACCCCAAACCCCACACCCCAAACCCTAAACCATAAACTCCAAACCCAGGCACGTACAAGCCCACCAACATCAGCACCGTCGCCGACGCAGAGTGCACGATGCGGCTCAAGAGGTGCGGCTAAGGGCTTTGAAGCTTTAGGGGGTTCGGAGCTTTAAACCCTAAACCCACCCTAAATCCTGAACTTCCAAACCCTAAACCCAAAAAGCGTAACCCTAAACCCTGAACCCTAAACCCTAAATCCCAAACCCTGAACCAGAAACCCCCAAATAGGGTTGTGGGGTTGAAGGGGGCTTAGACCCTTACTACGGCTTACTTAGGCCAGAGGGTTTAGGGTTTAGGGTGCTGATCCGCGCCCCAGTACTTATTGGGGAGTTCCCGGAGGAAGGTCCTGCCGACATCCAAAGCAAACTGCCAGCAGATCTTTGCAGCCCAGGAACCATCTTAGGGAGCACAGCAGCTTAGGGTTTGAGTTTCGGGTTTGGGGTCCCTAAACCCTGAACCCTGAACCCTGAACCCTGAACCCTAAACCCTAAACCCTAAACCCTAAACCCTAAAAGCTAGAGTCCCGAGCCAGGCCCAACTGCTTCCAGAACCGGGCCGCTGCGAAGGCGATTCGCATGATCCTGGATGCAGGGAAGGAGATCTTGACTCAGAGGGTTCAGGGTTTAGGGTTTAGGGTTTGGGGTTTGGGGTTTAGGGTTTAGGGTTTCAGAGTTTAGGGTTTAGGGTTTTAGGGTTTTAGGGTTTTAGGGTTTAGGGTTTAGGGTTTAGGGTTTTGGGTTTAAGGTTTGGGGTTTAGGGTTTAAGGTTTTAGGGTTTAGGATTTTAGGGCTTAGTAGGGCCTAGGGCTTCGAAGTTTCACTGTTTTGCAGGGTTTGTAGTGTATACCCTAAACCCGAAAGCCTAAACCCCAACCCTAAACCCATAGGGTTCACAGGCTCGCAGGGTTTGGTGGGGCGGTGGCCTGAGTCCCGGGCCACCTCCTCCCCCTGCTTTTTTGGCATTCTTGAGGATTTAACCGTGTCAAGCCTTATTTCCCTCACTGTTTCTTTTCGCATTCTGGAAGATTTAACCCTGTTAAGGTCTAAGGGACTTGCATTCTTGAAGATTTCACCGTGTTAAGGCCTGATACTAGACGATCCGTCGGTGGAGAAACTCGATGCGGCTGACATGAAGTCATGGCATCAGAGGAGGACCAAAACTGCACGAGACGCTAAACTGACGTCAAGCTGATCCGGAATGGAATGCGAGCGTTGTCCTCAAACAATATCAAAGAGGAGGATGAACCTTTGAGCGAGGGCAAACGTCCATCACATGGGGCGAGTTTTACAAGCTCGTGCAGAGGTTCTTTTGCTCCTACCCAGACCCCGATATGCTCGCTGTTCTTAAAAGGGCCATCGTCCTCGTCTTCGGCAAGCGTGCTTTGTACCTCTGCCTACCCAGTGAAGACAAAGAGGCTCCCATCCACTTGATTCAGACCGACGATTTGCATGTGGATCTTTTCTCAGATGGAGACAAGCCTTACTACGCGAAGTGCAAGCAGGGCATCCAAGAACCACCCCCGACCTTTTGCTGAGGATGTGGAGGTGGAACAAGAGATGCTACAAAGGGGAATGGAGTCGCTTCAGGCGGCCGGCCTCCCGGAAGCTTACATCTCGGATGTCAACTCAACCATTGCGTCCAAGCTTAGCCCGTCATCGCGGCCACTACATCTACCGTCGTTTCCATCGACAGATGAAGAAGCTTGGGCAATTCAACCTACCTTCCTCGAAGCGTCGCCTGACAAGCAAAACGTCTGCTACAGTCCCCGTAGAGGAGTCCTACGCTGCAGACCCCGATGCCCAGTCCATGCCGTCTTCGTCTTCCTGTCGACAGGTTGCGTCGGACCAAGAAGCGACGCAGCTCTTGGATCCGGGCGAGGAGGCCGCCGCGATCTTGCACGGCTGAACCTGAGCTAGGAACCCTAGCCACAGCGGGTCTCTATGAACATTTTGAGCCTGGGCGGTCTATACAAACTGAGGGGAAAAAGCACGCGCGTGCCGTAAGTCTTTCGAGTCCCTTTGAGTGTTGCAGGGGTCCGTGCATGTGTACCGTCGTCACCGTCCTGTAGGCTCCATGTAGTACACGCCCACGGTATGTAGCCGTCCACTCTCGTCATTCGTCTGAAGGTTGACGCTTAAAGCCTCCGTGTCGCAAGACAACCAGACTCTTGACTGTGCATCATAGATAAGCCTATCGCGCCGAAGCATGCACGCCAGCCCGGACTTCATGAAAGCGAGCTTCCGGAGCAATCTTGGATCCAGGGCCAGAGTGGGATCCAAGATTGCTGCGGAATTCTCCCGTGGACATCTTGGATCTTGGATCTTGGATCTTGGATTCTGCCTGATATTGAATATTGAGCTGTCTGTTTCAATATTCAATATGGGGTGGGATCCAAGATGTCCACGGGAGAATTTCCGGAGCAATCTTGGATCCAGGCTTCGGAATTTCTCCCATGGGCATCTTGGATCTTGGATCTTGGATTCTGCCTGATATTGAATATTGAGCTGTCTGTTTCAATATTCAATATGGGGTGGGATTCGAGATCTACGATCCAAAATGTCCACGGGAGAATTTCCGAAGCAATGCTGGATCCCGCGCTGGCTTGGTGTCCAAGATTGATCCGGAAATTCTCAAGTGGACATCTTGGATCTTGGATCTTGGATTCTGCCTGTTTATGAATATTGAGCCGTTTGTTTCAATATCAAGATTAGGACTGGCCCCAGATTAATTATGCCTGCGAAGTCTCTCGACTGCAAAGCGGCTGTGACCTGGAGATGGTTATTGCATTTTCGAGCCTAGTATTTGTTATGTTTGTGCATGCTCAGATAACATGAGGATGCAACTTCATGGCGTCAGCATATATAGTATGTGACTTTGCCAAACTCAAGCCACCAAGAAAGAAAGTAGATTTCAGACGCTTTTAGTCGAGCAATGGATGGTTTCAAAGTTACGGACAAGGCGTTGCTCCAGGGCCAGCCAACGGGGATCTGTAGTGCCACGAGTCCAGGCTCCCGCTCTCTGCACAGCACGCGACATACGCGTCATCGCTTGCAGGACACGCTGTTGAAAGCGAAGCGTGCTGGACGAAAGCAACAAGCTGCTATGCCCGATGAGAAGAGTCGCCCAGCCATTGGGAACGACAATGAGCATCAGGAGAACCTCCATGCCATGCCGGTCATCGTGCCCATGAACATCGAATTGGCAGACATCACATCACTCGTCTCGGTCTTGAGGGCATTGTTCCAGCGTGGCGGCGTGCGAAAGCTATCGACAATTTTCGCCACAAGACTGGACAGGTTCACGAAGGCCTGATACTAGACGATCCAGCGGTGGAGAAACTCGATGCGGCTGACATGAAGTCATGGCTGACATCAGGGGAGGACCAGAACTACACGGGACGCTATACTGACGTCAAGCTGATCCGGAATGGAATGCAAGCGTTGTCCTCAAACAATATCAAAGAGGAGGATGAACCTTTGAGCGAGGGCAAACGTCCATCACGTGGGGCGAGTTTTACAAGCTCGTGCAGAAGTTCTTTGCGCCTACCCAGACCCCGATATTCTCCAGGCTGGATACGGTAACATCTGCGTGGCTACGTTGAGGAGATGGAGGGCTATTTATCAAGAGGCTCTTGGAGGAGCTCTACACGAGATGGGGGCCTTGAAAGTTGGAGGGCGAAATGAGGTGGTGGTACTGGACGAGTTGCATCGTCGGGATACATCCAGAAGACGGATGGGCATTGGGGTCCAAAGGAATCAACAAAGCAGGGGCGGAGCAAAACCGCAAATCAGAACGAAAGGATGTCAACAAGCTCGTCCACCAAGGTGCTATGAAAAGACTTCCAGCTCGAACTCTTCTACACATTCTACACGGCGAGAAAGCAGTGTCCTCCTCATCTATCCTTATCAAGAAGAAGGGTACAAAAGAAACCTTCGTCTGTCCTCAAGAAGCCTACCAAGGTGCATCCCGCCAAGATTGCCAAGAAACTCGCTGCTAACTTGAAGAAGAACGGCAAGTGGCTTTGGATTGCTGTCGTGGTCGGCAAGGGGAGGGCAGTCTCCACACACGCAAACAGGAAAAAACGAGTCACATACCGTCTTCTTCCGCGCAGCTCCCAAGCAAGCTAAGGAGAATCTCGCAGATTTCAGGAAATGAGTGCAACTGTACAGTCTCGAGTGGCAAAGGGTAGCTTTCTCGTATTTGATGGGTGGGCTGTAACTAATAAGGCCGTAAACGCCTTGGGGTACAATTGTGCCCCCCCTGTAAACCATGAGAAATGGTTTTGCAATCGTGTGACAGGGTTCCACACCAATGATGCTGAAAGCGAGAACAGCAGGCTAAAGACGTGGTCTCGTGCTAGATATGGCAAGCTCCATATTGATCCTCATGAAATGGATGAGTGCATGTTCTACATTAATGTGGGGGACAACATGCTTGATGTTTTTCGCGGTCTTGCCATGTCGAATGGCGGCCCTTGTGCAAACAATCTCATGAGCATAAATGCCTAGTGTTTCACACCCAAACGGGCAACCGTGACAGGCAGATGTTGTCATGAGGTTTTGCGAAGCTCCAAAAGCCACTTGTGTGTAAGGGTTAAAGATGCATGCTTTTGTGTGACAGCCAAGGTGCCTCGTCCTGAACAATGTAGGCTTGCACTCTTGGACGGGGGGGGGGGGGAGATATACATCAGAGCCCTTAGGGTTTAGGGTTTAGGGTTTATATAGGGTTTAGGGTTTCGGGTTCAGGTCTCTAAACCCCACACCGCCCAAACCCGCGGACCCTAACTTCTCTGAGGCCCTAACCCCCAACCCAAACACTTGAATTTTTGAAGCCCAACCCTAATCCAAAATTTGGAAACCCAAACCCCAAACTTTTGAAGCCGTAACCCTGCACCATGAAGCCTCCTGAACCCTAAACCCTAAACCCTAAACCCAAAAGTGGAGGAGTATGCCTTTGTGCTGCTGATCCGCTTCGACGTGCGGTCACCGGGCCAGATTGTGTGGCATTTCGGGGCTTACTTGATCATAGTTGGGTAACATTTTACATGTTTAAGGGTACTTAAACCCAATAAGGAATAGACATTAAAATTTTTCATACGATCCCAACCATCATAGTTCGGACGAAAGGCCTTTTGCTATTTGCGCAAAACAAGTGCGCAACGACGGGTTGCCCCTGCCAATTGCAGACGATTTGCCGGCTAAAAGACTGCCATTAGCGGCTTGTTGGCTTGGGAGGGGGGGTCGTGTAACCAGGACTGCGTTCGCTAATAGCTAGCTACTGGCAGTCAGCCGGTTTTGCAGACACGCTCGAAATGCTAATAGCTAGCTAATAGCGCGGAAGGTTGTGTGGGCCATTTCGTGTTCAGGCGCTAAGAAAATACTCAAACCAATGTGGAATACCCTGAGCCCTAAACCCTAAACCCTAAACCCTAAACCCTAAACCCTAAACCCTAAACCCTAAACCTCAAACCCGAAACCCCAAACCCCAAACCCCAAACCCCAAACCCCAAACCCCAAACCCCAAACCCCAAACCCCAAACCCTAAACCCTAAACCCTAAACCCTAAGCCCAAGCCTGAACCCAATCCGCCAGAATGCTCACTACAGCGCCCGAGATTCCCTTAAACCTGGCCACTCTAGTGGGGTTTACGGGCTTAGGGTTTAGGGTTTAGGGCCTTATGGGTTATGGGTTCCGGACCCCTAAATCCCGAAACCCTAAACCCCCAAATCCCGAAAGCCTAAACCCCTAAACCCTAAATCCCTAGACCCTAAATCCCTAAACCTTAACCCCCTAAATCCGTAAACCCTAAACCCCACATCCCTAAAACCCAGAACCCCACCAACGTTGGGGGAACAAAGTGCCAACGGAGGTTGAAGATGTCGCTGATGTCCACCCCTGGGCTACTACAAGCAGGTTTTGCAGACTGCGAAAGGCGAGAGTGGCAGGGTTGTTTGAATTGGGTTGCCCTAACCCTAAACCCCAAACCCCAAACCCCAAACCCCAAACCCCAAACCCCAAACCCCAAACCCCAAACCCCAAACCCCAAACCCCAAACCCCAAACCCTAAACCCCAAACCCCAAAACCTAAACCTTAAACCCTAAAAGGTCAAGGGTGCCCCCCTGCCGTGGGACATTGGGACACCTGGGACTGTCCCTGCAAATCCCCTCAACCCCTTCAAAGGCGGCCCTCTTTGTGTAAGCACACCTGGACACCTGCCGACCCCATTCAGAAGTTAGGGGTCTAGAGTTCACGGTTTGGGGTTTAGGGTTGAGGGTTTAGGGTAGAAGCGTTCTTCAGGGTGGGAGTTGAGCGCGGCAGCCCGAAACCCTAGAAGGCTATGGTTTGGGTGGTGGCCTGTGGAAGCTCACAGCCGGGGTGGGCAAAAGAACCTGCATCGGAAACATGTGCCTTCGCGTGACATGCCGGCCCCCCCCTGGGTGTGTCGGGGCGCCATTTCCACCAGGTACTTGCTGACTTGCGTCCGCTGGCGTCCGCTGCGCGGCAGCCCCAAAAACCGAAACCCCAAGCTTGAACATGCATCTCGGGGGTTTCCGCAATTTGGGGCACCATTGAGGGATACCCTACCATTGGGTGGTCTTTATTTGGGTCCCTTGTTTTGTAAATCCACATATGCCCCCAAACCCCAAACCCTAAACCCTAAACCCTAAACCCTAAACCCTAAACCCTACACCCTAAACCCTACTTCATGTGCCCTCCGTCCAGGTGGAGCCGCATGAACCACACCTACTTCGGAGCCTTCGCGGGAGGTCGCATCGACGACCGACGGGAGTCACCTGACCTGCTCTTCCATGAGGTGTAGGTCCTTCGGGACCCTAAAGCCCTGAACCCGAAACCCGAAACCCTAAACCCTAAACCCGAAACCCCAAACCCCAATCCCCAAACCC